CATTCATATAGACTCCCAAAAGGTGGACTTCACTTACCACTGTAATGACTATGATTATATAACAACTTCTCAAGAATGTTTTAATAACTTTCATGTTTCCAACTGCCACATTAGGACTAACTGACACCTATGTTTCTGAGACTGGACCATTCCTTCTAATGTAAATATATCCCCCCGCCCCCCCGCCCTCAATGTGACCTCTGAAGTCCTCTGCTATTTCAACTGAAAAACTGTGATTACTTATTTTCCCTAAATTATTTATCTTGCAACAGTCATGTACTCAAGTGTACACAGCTTTCCATTAGAAAAAATGGATAAATCTTTGGGGGAGAATTCCTGAAAATCAAGGTTTTACCTAAACTGAATTTATGAAATGCTCTAAAATGCAAAACATTTTGAGCGCTCACTTGATGCCAACAGTGGAAAATTCCACAAACACACATGAGAGGTTGCAGTCAGAAAGCAGGCACACAACTGTGTGTGGTGGCTCATGCCTGTAATCCCAGCAGTTTGGGAGGAGGCAGGAGCATCTGAAACTACCTCCAAGTAGACAGTGTATAAACTGAACTAACTATAGGACACTCAATTAGTGGGCCCAGGAGAACTGACTGGTTGGCGGATTGCTGAGTATGTGAGGAGAAATGCTCAGACATCTGATGTTAGAAGTGCTGTGATACAATAGCTAAGCTATGGAGCCACCCTAGGTCCCCTTCAACAGATAAATGGGTAAAAAAAATTGTAGTTTACTCAGCAATAAAGAATGACTATATGACACTTGTTGGTAATGAATGAATCTGGAGACCAGCATGCTAAGTGAAATAAGCCAGTCCCCCAAAATTAAGATTGAATGTTTTCTCTGGTATGTGTAAGCTAACCCACAAAAAGGCGAAGGGGAACAGAAGTTCAGCAGATTAGACAAAGGGGAATGAATGGAAGGGAGGAGGAATAGGAAAAGGAAAGACAGTGGAATGAATATGATATTACTTTTCTATGTACCTATATGAATATACCAGAGTGAATCTCACCATCATGTATACCCACAAAACTGGGGTCCTATATAGAGAAAAAGATATGTTCCATGCCTGTATAATTATATCAAAATGGATTCTAATGTCGTATAACTAAGAAGAATAAAATTTGTAAAAAGTACTATTGATGTGTTAAGTGTAGGGGAAAAAAAATCCACATTTTGGTTTTCTTTCCATTCTAAGAGACAAGCGAAACTTCAAACATATTTATCACTTAGCAAAGTTAAAAGCTTGGAGAAAATTTACAACACATATAACACTGATTTCAGTGGCAAAGTTTATAGTGCTCTATGTTCAAGTTATTCTAGAAATTTTTAATCTAGAAGTTATCAATCTTAAAAATGATTTATAACTCGAAGGTAGGGTACCAAAAAATAGAATTTTAGGTTCAAATCTTGAGTGCCACTTTTCTGCATAAGACTTTTGGCAAAGTACTCAAATTACTTCCCTGAGCTTCAGTTTCCTTATCTACAAAATGGGAATAAAAAACTTGGATTAATTAAAATAACTGCATGTAAAATACTTACAATAATAATGCTTGAGGCAAAGTACACACTTGGTAAATAAGGATTATTCATCAAACAGCCGACTTTCACTTGCAAGGTTCTTGCTAGCCAAGCCCTATTACCACATACTCAAAGAGAGCAGACAGTCCACTCTGCCTCCTACAGATGGGCACTAACAGTTCCTAACAGTTTTAGAAGTCCTACTAGGATCTTATGACTTTGGAGGAGATTCCTGCCCTCAGGCTCCATGATGATACCTAGCCCCATTCCATTAAATATTAAGAAAAAAGCTGATAAGCCCATAGGTAATACTGAAATAATACCAACCCAAGAAAATGATTAAAGTAGCACATTAACTTACTTTGCTTAAAAATCAGTGGCCTAGAATGACACAAAAGTGCCTACCTTCCCCAAAGAATTAAAAGCTCATAAGGTTTGTATTTTATTGGCCAACCCTTTACTATGTGTGTGTGTCTATAGGTGCATTTAAGACTTACTTTTATTTATTACCTGAACTAAAGGGTAATTCTGCTCACAGAATTTTTCCCCATGGTGCCTACTCTGTGCCAGGTAACCAAATAGCAAGAAAACTCCATAAAAGACAGTCTAGGGCTGGGGTTGTAGCTCAGTGGTAGAGTGCTTGCCTAGCATATGTGTGAAGCACTGGGATTCAAGCCTCAGGACCACATTAAGAAATAAATAAAATAAAGGTATTGTGTCCATCTATTACTTAGTCTGCTGTCATTCTATTAGGCTAGTGAAGAATTCAGCATACCTGCATCACATCATATTTTTGTTAAATTAGGCAATCAGAAAATTAAGATTTATTACAATTTTATTTATTTGTTTTATTGTCTAGGTTACTTAATTTTAACACCTATTGATAACCATATGGACAAAAAATGGTTTTTCCTTTTAATCTTCTAAAATACACCTCAATTAGACTTATATCAATACTTACTTTTGTATTCATTTGTTTGTCATAACTTTTTCTTTAACCAAAATAACAGCCAAGAAATAAATGATAAAATCTCCCATTCTGACTTTACTTGTAACAATTTTAAGAGGACAGCCCAGTAACTTCAGCATGAAACATGCTTATGTGGTTAAAGTTTTGTTTTGTGCCACAGATTTAAATGAAGATTCCAAAAAACATTCTTGTTGCTATAAATCTATACAAAACTTTTTAAAATTTACATAGGACATTAGCAACTACATGGAAGCTATACAAGTTAACATTCTATGTACAAAGCATGTTAATCTAACATCTTAACAAATGTAAAATGTAATTGATTGCTAAATTTTATTTTCTGCTGTTTTTTTATTGTTTTCTCACATTATGTTCAATGTACAAAATTTTCTTTTAATCGACAACAGTAGAAAATAAAACTGATGAACTGTTTCTATTTGTGATTAAGAACAAAGTGGTCAAGACAGAATTTGTAACACCAACCCCCAGGGAAAAAAAAACAAAAAAACAAAAAAACAGAAAAGCTATGATAACACAGGATAGATACAAGCAACAAGAATGTCTTTCATTTTCAAAGCTGAATAAACTGTAGTATTCACTCATAATACTACATAAGAGTCTAAAAATAAAATGTATCTAGCCTATGATTCAAGATAAAATACTTTTAAGAATCATCATGAACATTAATTGACAACTTATTATGTGCCAAACAGCATTCTAAGTGCTTTGCAGCTCATTCAACCCTCACAATCACTGTAAGAGAATAAACAATTATCACTTCCATGTCATATAGCACCAAGAGATTAAATTATTTATCCAAGGTCACAAAGCTGTTGTGTGGCAGAACCAAGATTGAAAACTAAGCAATCTGTTGCAGAGCTCACTTTTAATCATTTTAATTCTTCTGCGAAAGACAGCTGATAATGTTATTTATTCATGATGCCGAACTACACAGTTTTAAGTTCTAATCCTTGTCTGTGAGTACCATGTGAGTGAAGTGAGCAGGCCATTATTACAGAAGTAGCAGAAGCTCAGGAGAGGGAAAAGATATTTTCTTCAATGACTTTCCTCTGATATAAAAATTGCTCTGTTTGCAGTTGTGGAGTTCCTACTAATGCCAATGTCATCCCAAGTTCAAACATGGAAACCAAAAATTTATGGCAACACTCACTTGAAAAGACACTGTTGATTCTAAAATGTTTAAGATCCTAATGAATTTTTTTTTAAATACAACATCTAAAACACTCAAGAACTTCATAATCTCATGAAAATGACTCAAACTCAACAGAAAAATAAAGAGCTACAAAATTTAAAAATAATGATATCTCTTTTTTTCCTCAGACTTCTATGTCTATGGGGGGGAAGGTGGGGTAAGGAGTGGTAGAGATAATTAAATCTACACAGCTTATAAGAGGGCTGAAGTATAAATTAGGAAGAAAATGAAGCCAGCAATCTTGTTGGTGGTGCTGTTCATTCTATCAGCTCCATAGAACAATTCAACACACAAGCTCCAACACAAGTTGATCACAGCTCTAACATTTGATGGCACGAAGGCACTTTCAAGTCAATGTATCAGAAGAAGAAGAAAAAAATCACCCTTCCTAATAACAACTTTCACCTATAGCAATCAAAATCTAGGTATTTTAGATTAGTGTCTCTCTCTCTTTTTTTTTTTTTGTCCAGATAGAAATTTTAAAAAGCATTCTACCTTATAGTATTACTGTAAAAGAAAACTAGGTAAATAAAATCTCCCTAATAAAATTCAAGACAAAAGAGTTTGATATTCACATTAAACTAGCAAAATAAAGAAAAGAAGGTAGGAGGAGAAAGAACAGGAATAATACATTTTAAAGTAAAATGCCTAACTAAAACACAAGGGTTGGGGTTGGGGTTCAATGGTAGAGCACTTGCCTAACACATGAGGCACTGGGTTTGATCCTCGGCACCACATAAAAATAAATAAAACAAAGGTATTTTGTCCATCTATAACAACAACAAATAAAATTTTCAATGCCTAAAAATAATTTACAGTTGAGATAAAATGTTGCTGAAACCAATCTCATATGGTTAGTAATAAGCCTTTGTTTTAACAGATATCTTCTAACTGTCCCAGTGATTTGACATACAACTACAGTTAAAATTCACAAGACCCTAATCCCGTTTACAGCTCATCAAAAGAAAACTTTTAGGTTTTTCAAGCTTTTACTTGCATATTTTCATAGATAACATGATAGTCTAATTTCCACATGGAGGTTTCTCAAGTATAAAATATTAAAGTTAAATTAACACAATGGAGTAACTAATACTTTATTCCTAAGTGTAAAATGATGATTAAAAAGGGGGGAAAAAATCAGAGAAACACCTTTAAAAATGTTTCAGAGTTCCTACCATGGAGTATCAAGTTTTACACCTAAAAGATATGAAACTTTACTATTAGCATGAAAAAATGTAAGTAAATTATTCACACAAAGACTTGCCTCTCTTTCAAGGACTTACCTTCTTTTTATCTCTCATTGAGCCTTTGCCTCGGACCATTATTTTACATCCAGTTTCTGCTTCAAGCTGTTTAGCGGTAAGTCCTCTGGGTCCAAGGATTCTCCCAACAAAATTAAACTGGAAAAACAAAGAACCACAAATTATTCATTTGCTATGATGGTCCTTAAAGTTATTTTAAAGTATATATGCATGAATGTATGTATGTACGTACATACCTATGTACCTATGTGTAATAAGAAGTAAAATTTAGAGCCCTCATGAATCTCATGCCAAGTTTGGGATAAAACTATTGTTTTCTCATTGTTTTAAAATAAAATTATCATTTGTATTAACACAAACTATGAATTAGAAACAATACCCGATACACACAGGAGCTATACAGAATTGTCCCCAAGTACATAATGTAAGCCAGAGTATATTAAAGAGCTGATGAATGATTAGATGCCATCTAAGAATATAAACCTGTTCTATAAATTTCTGTCTGTTCCAGATGCCGGGTGCTGAATCAATTGTTCATTCTGTTAGTAGTGATTACCCTGTATGATTTAAAGGGGGGGGGGCCTGAGGAAAAGTCCTACTTTCATAACCAAAAAAGTCATACTTTCTCCAGATAGAAACGTATAAATTACAATTCTGAGTGGGCTGGTACAACATTGAGGGACAAATCTGTATTCTACCCTACATGCTAAGTCTTGACAATATATATTTTTCATCATATTTCTTGGACAATTTCATGTCTGCATCTTTTCTTTCCTTTATTTTTTTTCCTTTCCATCTTTAACTTACACTTCTATTTTTTCTAGGGAGCCTAAACTAAACTCTTTCTTTCCATTAATAAGTCAGTCATATAAGCAAGTGTATAAATGAAACTTATTCTCATCCAACAGAAACTTTTAGACTCACATGTGAAAGTTTCTTCATATTAAGGCAAACGGTTTTTAGACATTTTACTTTAAAATGTATTATTTCTGTTTCCTGCTTTTTCCTTCTGTCATTATCTTGTTTAGCTATTTTAATTAGTAAATATCCAAATATCTGTGTGTGCATATTGAAAGTATATTTTCTTCATTTGCATATCATCTTCATAAAAACAATGAGTGTCTTCCAGCAGGTCCATAAAAACTCATGAGTGGTTTTCATTTATTTGTTTAACAATTAAAAAATACCAATTCTTATGCATACAATTTCCCACCTTTCTCTTGCATTTATCCTACTGTTAGTGTATCATTATATCAAAGTAACAAGCTAGAATATTTACTGGTGGTCACAAAAAGCTGGGTACTTCCTTCACCCTTCTATACTCCAAAGGTGCTCTCTCTCTGCCTCAAAGAGGCTTGCCTTTGAGAAAGTGATTCTCATGTGAAAGGGGGGTAATTAATGCACTGCATTCTTTGAAAAAAGTCTCCTCCCCCTAGGGATTCTGATACAGCCCCTAGTTGAGACTCTCAGCCTTTGATCTATATGCACTTGACTAACTCTATAAGACCCCAGATTCTGAAATTTGCCCAAGCCACCTATTTACATTCAAATAAAGCCTGTTATTCTTTACCAGTTTCTTGAGCTATTATATTTCATCTACCTTTTGACCGAGTCTAAACACAATTGTCATCTATTTTAACAAGGAATTTTCTTTTTAGAATCCCCAGTCAATCTCACCATCCCACATCTCCAATCTGAAAAAACTAATAGTATACTAAGGTGAAGTGCTTAAACTCTGAAAACACAAAAATTCATTCAATTGATATCCAAGCTCCAATGAAACAGTAATTAGGAATTTCAGAGTCACATCAAATAAACCTTGACTACATAATGGAGGTGGTAACACTATCTGATAGAGGTATACTGACAGCTGTGCACACAGCATACATAGTAAGTTTGGCAATTAATTGTCTCCTAATCCCACTGCACATTCTCTTCAGGAAACCTCAACCCTTTGGCTCACTCAACAATCAAGCTTAGGATGTCACAGAAAAGGATATGATCAATGGCAAATTATATTTTGTAATAAAACAGCACAGCATATTACCCTGGCAGCTGCCTCACACATCTCATGTTTACCACAGTCTCTTGACTGCATCAAGAGGCTGCACAGACTAACTTATACTGTCCGGGTTTGTGTAAGCATACTCTCTGATGTTCCCATAGCTACAAAATTACATGACAACATATTTCTCAGAATATAAACCATTCATAAGCAACCTTATATAACTATACCTCAGTCTCTGGGCTCTCCATTCTATTTCACTAATCTATTTAGTCTTTCTTTAATATCATGCTGTATTAACTACAGTGACTTTATAATAGATCTTGGTATGCAGTAAAGCAAGTTCTTCTACTTTGCTCTTCAAGAGTGTTTTGGCTGTTTCTGGCCTGCCACATATTTTCACACATATTTTAGAATGAGTTGCTCAATTTCTAAAATAATATTTTTAAGAATTTTCATTAGAATTCTACTATAATAGTGTATATTCAAAACCATAAACATGGTATATAACTTCTCCATTTGATTAGGTCATCTTTTATTTTTCTCTCAAGAACGTAAACTTTTAAAGCATTTTTCATTATGCTTTTACTCTCACTTAAAACTTAACTCCTAGAAATTCATAGGGTTTTTTCCTGTCATCGTATATTATATTTTTTTAATTTTTTTCCCTAAAAAACATATAATTGGTTTTCCTATAAACTTGTATGTAACAATCTTGTTTTATTATTATTCTTGTTTCTTCTGTATATTCTTTAGAATTATTTCTTTTTTTCCTGTATATTCTTTTGAATTACTTATGTAAATGATCACATCACTTGCAAATAAGTTATATTTTTTCCTTCCAACTATATATTTTTATTTCTTCTTGCTATCCTTTACAATACTGTCAATACACCAAAACTCAAGATTAAAGATTTCAAAAGTTCACCCCTAAAAGTTTGAAGTAATGTGTAGACATTTTTACATATATACTTTTTTAGGTTATAATGAATTTCAACAAGTAAATGTTAAACTAACCTTCCATTCTGAAACTCAACTTGATCATAATTCATTATTCTTCTAATAAATTAGTGGATTCAGTTTCCCAGCATTCCGGTGATTTTTAAAAAATACATTCATGAACAGAACTGACCTATAATTTTCCTTTCTCACAATATGCTTCTCAGGTTTTGTCATTAGGGTCATATTGGCCTCAAAACATATTGGAATGTATTCTTTCTTCTTCTCCTCTTTGGGTAAGCTTCTGTAAGCCTAGTGTTATTTCTTCATGAAATACTGAACAGAATTCATTGGTGATACCACCTGGGACCACAATCTTCTCTGTAGAAAGTTTCAAATTATGGATTCAGCCTTAGTATTGTCAATTGAAACACTGTTTATCTAGAAACATATCCATATTGTCTAAATTGTCAAATTTCTTAGATTAAAGTTTGTCTAATTTTCTATTTAATATATATAAGATCTGTAGGATTTACACATAACTAAGGTGGCTTTAGCAGTGTCCCACAAGTTTTCCAGACAGCATTTTTCACTTTTTACTATTTATCCACATTTCCCCTTTTCTTTCATTCTCCAATAATTCTCCTTTGCTTTTGCTGATTGGGATGGAAAGATTTTAAACAGGTTCAGAGCTGGACACAGTGGCACAAGCCTGTAATCCCAGCAGCTCAGGAGGCTAAGGCAGGAGGATGGCAAGTTCAAAGCCAGCCTCAGCAATGGCAAGGTGCTAAACAAATTCAGTGAGACCCTCTCTCTAAATAAAATACAAAATAGATCTGGGGAGGCGGCTCAGTTGTGAATACCCAAGTTCAATTCCTGATCCCCCCAAGTTGCTCCCCTAAAAAAACAGGGTCAGTATTCTTCCCTCCTCTTCACCATGCTCCTAACATTTGTGATGTAAATTTGCACCTCTTCCCACCTCTTGAATCTAGGGTAGCAGTGACTTGCTTTGGCGGATACAAAGGATATGCCAGTTAAAAGTCAACCTTATATGTGGTTCCACTCTCTTAAGACCCTACAGCTCGCATGAGGATAAATATGCACTAAGGTTGTTGTGGGAAGAAATACATGTGACCCAGTAACCATCAATGCCTACTGCTAGGAATCTCTCAAAAGCAGAAATGCCTGCCAACCTACAGTGGACTGCAGAGTCAGACCCAAGCAGCTCTGCTGAATCCAGTCACAGAAGTGGGAGTACAAGAAATTGTTCATGTAAGTAATAAATTAAATTTGGGGGTGGTTTAATTATAATGCAGCAATAGGTAGACAATATGTACTCATTCTCTTCATTTTGAACTTTTCTCCTCCTTGATTTCTGCTTTAGTTTTATTTCTTCCTTCTGCTTCCTTTGGGTTTAATCTGTTACTGTTTTTCCAAATTTCTGAAAAGAATGCTTATTGCATTCTTTTTTTTTATTGGCATTTTTTCCCCCTAATGCATGTATTTAAAGATTTACACATAACTAAGCTGGCTTTAGCAGTGTCCCACAAGTTTTGACAGACAGCATTTTCAATATCATTCAGGTAAAAATAATTTGATAACTATTAAATATTTAAATGTATTTTTTCTCATTTCAAACCTATAAGAATTTCATAATTAGCTTTGGTTTTGATTTCTAGCTTCCTACACTGTAACTAGAAAACATACCATGTAAAATATTATTCCTTTTATTTGTTCAGATTTGCTTTTTTAAATAGGATATAATCAATGTTTGTAAACATTCTATGAGTGCTTAAAATGAATGCAAAGTCTACTTAGCATAAGATACCTGTCTCTGTGTTTTGCAGTGTTGGGGACTGAACCTAGGGCCTCAGGTATGCTAGGCAACAAGTTACCTCTGGGCTACGTCTAAGTTTATTTGTCCTTTTACTTCTGTTTACAGGCCATGTTCATTAGCATACACATATGTTAAAAAGGTATCTTTCTATCATTATGAAATGGCCCTCTTTATTTTCAGTAAATACTTTGCCATTAAGTCTATATTGATATTAACATGAAGATACAGTTTTTTATTTGACTTTGAGATGCATATTTCTTGATTACATACTTTGAATCTTTTGCTATTATTATTTTTAAATGGTATTCCTATGAACAGCATTTTGTTTCTTCATTCAAACTGTCAATCTTTCAATTT